CTTAACAATAAATTAAAATTATCAAAGTAATTGATTTTACAAGATTTCGTTAATTAATATCAATAGATTTTACATGAAAAATACATTTATTTTTTTCTCTAAAAACAAATCTAATCAATTTTAACTCTCTCTCTCTTCACTTCTCTTTTCATTAAAAAGATTGGTTAAGAAAATCTAAGAAGTATAAAAATTTTGTTATAAAAGTAAAGCTGAATTTTACATAAACATTAATTACGATTACTGTCTCTTATTTCATCCACTGCTTTTATTCGAAGACAAAATAGAAATTAACTAGAGTACATAAGCCAGAGTCTTTCAAACAGAAAAAGAAAGCATACTCAAAAGAACTAGGAAGAGAGTAATGTTAGAAGCACATAATATTCTCAATGTGACCTGGAAAAAAATAACATCTCACGACCATGTTTACCAATCCCATGAGTACGTCTAAACTCATAATCAGCAATTCCATCAACCTCAACTCTTCTAATACGCTCTTTAATCAGATCGCAATAGTAAACACAAAAGAGTTTAGATGATTCTAAGCTTCTAGAAACCATCATAACCTCATTGGTATAAATCTCACCAGTGGAAAAAGATCTCTCTTCTCTAAAAAACTCTCTCCAATCACAAGGCACATCACAAGTCATGCTGCTCGACCATTCTTGTTTTTCAACATCTTGTAGAATCCACATACCAGTCTCATATTCGCATGCAAAGTCATAGCTTACACCAGCTAATTTTCCTTGGTAATTTATGAATGTTGAATAACAAGTTAACAACCATATGCGAGTGCATTAAACTCTTCGGGCCCTTGAATAAACTCAATCTTCTCGGATCTAACATCAAAACTAGCTATCTTTTTATGCAAAACTCCGTAGTATATAGCACCATCGATGCATATACCACCTTCGAAAGATGTGTATGGATCTCCTTGGGTGATCTCAATCTTTCTCCACTCTTCTTTATCTTGTCCACATCTTACCGTGCAAACTAAATGCTCCTGTTGGATATTGTTTGGACTCTCGCCGTATCCATCAAACATCATCACGCACAAGATTTTGTATTGGTCTTCGACCGGATCGTAACCGAGACGTGCGTGCATGTCTCTTCTGTTACGTTCAACATCGGGCAGTTTCACTATTTGTCTCGTGGTCGGATTAGAAACAGCAATCGAAGAGCCACGTGTGCAACAAATCAGACCGTTTACGGGGCGAGATCTGATGTAGTAGACAAGATCAGAGATTGTCATGTCGTGTCTGGCCATGACTGTGGAGGAGAATTTGTCATTGTTATTGTCGTGTTCAGGCGCTGAGAAGATGAAACGTTTTCGGGAATCAAAGTGCTTGAAGGTTAAAAGGAGACGAGGCTTAGTCCTAGATCGAGTCAGGAAGGAGTCGGTGAAATCTTTGTTTCGGATGATAGAGAACCAAAGCTTAGACACGGTTTGGAATCGGAGGAGTAATTTCGCCGGAAGTCTAGAGAGTATCTCGATGGTGAGATCGGAAGGAATGGATACGTGAACTATGTTACGTGACGGAGACGATTGTGAATCTTTCATGACGGCTCTCTCGTGGTGTGAATCGTGTGTGTGATGATCAACAAACCCTAAAGATAAATACTGTACATGGGAAATATATGTTTCAAACAGGGTGAAATTGTTGAATAACAAAAAAAAAAACAAATTATAACTCAAAATCTAACAAAACAAATGTATGATGTGATAATATTATATCCTAGATTTTAAGAAATTGGATACTTAATCAATTATAATTTTTTTAAGAAAATTTTCAAAAAATGCTATTTTTCAAATGGCAGTTTACAAAAATGCCACTTTTTTACAATCTTTACAAAAATGCCACTTTTTAAAAATTATTTATTCATTATATCATTTATGTTGGGTTAACTATGTTGTATTAGGATTTAGTTTTGGGGGGGGTTTAAGGGGTCAAAAGATTTTTTAGGGTTTAGAATTTTATGATTTAGGCTCAAAAAATCATAATTAGT